CGAAGGAACCTTATGAAAATGCTATGTAAACATGGCGGATATAACGCATGAAAATGGGTGGAAAACTTACTCATTAGGAGTTGTTGTATTCTATTRACCAAACATCGTAAAGGAGTCATATGTAAAAAAAGCAATGAAAAGAAAGAGAAAGAGCTGAGGGGAAAAATTGAAACAGCCAGTGACTAAAGGAACAGGTGATAATGACAAGGCAGTATACGGTAAATAATCAAGTAGCACTCGACTACGGTACAATTTAGTGCTTTATTCTTGAAAAACTCAACACTCGTAAAACAACATGGCTGCTCTCGGAGTCCCGCGCTCTGAATCACGTGAATCGCACCCAGGTTACTACACAGTCATTACAATGTCCAAGATTAGTTTTTTCGGGATTGTCCGCAACTCTCGCCATACTCATACATTAATTCTTGAGCTATTGGTTCCTAGAATTACAGTGCGAAACACACTGAAAATTATTTTTTTTCCCTTATGTTTTCTCTCCCGGTAATGTCAGACTCGATCGCTGGTGGCGTTCAAGGAAGTACCGTCGGGTCTGCGAGCGAAAATCAAGTTGATGCAACAGGTAACCAGGGGGACCAAGGAAATAACGATGATTCCCATTTTGGGAAATAACGGGACAGGCATGGGGAGGAGGTGGCACGTATGATAAATCCTAAGTAAGACAATGATGCTTTATACAGAATGTTTTATTGCCCCAGAAAATTTTACGAGATGAATTTTAAGGGTTTGAAAAATACCTCTGCTAGCAGGGTAGTGTCTATTCCTTTTTGCTACTGCCTTGCATTTTTCCTTATTTTTTCTTACAGTGATTGGTCGAAAACTGTGCTTTATCAGTGAACGGAGCAACGCTAGAACTTGCGACCGTCTTTCTTTTTGCGTAAATAAATTCAATACCAAAATAAAATTAGTAGCTATATAATAAAACGAATAAAACAGCTTTTTCCGTGGTCCGTTCAGTGATAAAKCACTTAGGAAGCRCCGTAAGCATTCAAGAAGTGTGAGAAGCCTTACACTTCTTTCTTGCTTACTTCACTTCCTGCGTGCTTTACTACTGAACGGAGAACAGAAAAAGCTCGTGTTTTATTTGTTACATATTTTAAGGGCCACACCGTCGTAATAGGGAAAACCTGTGACGATATCCCTAGCTTCTCGTCATCAACTTTCAGAAATTACAGCCTATCAAAATGCAGGAAAGCCATCGTATATTTGTCGGTATTCCTCTCTTCCTTCCCATCATGCATTTGTATTTACTTTGGAGTTAAATAAAATAGWTATAGAATGTTTTCTCGTKGTACACCATGGAATATCTCACTTGCCTAGAGGCTCGTGTAAACGYATAGAAAACACAAGTGAYATGTGGGATATTCCATGGTATACCACTCAAAAGCATTGTATAACYAGGTGATATATYTATYTATTTATAGAGGATARCTAAGATATGAAGTTYATCTTCGAGTGGTGGAAATATCYTTCAACACGACAAGATAAACTTCATACATTCAAGCCAACGATCGATATYTTCACGTGTGAGGATATGGAAAATATGTCATTGAGGTCCCGGATTTAGATTCATGTGTGAAAAATACGAGTGGCGTATTTTCCAGAAACCACCACTACTGTCTATATAATAAAATTTACTTTTCTGCTTTTAGACGAGAGGTAACAGCAAGATAAGTTAGAATTAACTAAGTTAAGTCATCCATYTTAATGTCTGTTTTATTCCACTTCTCTTTAGAAAGACCAAACAACGTCTCAAGCTCAAGAGGTCCGACCCAAAATATTCCGACGTCATCGGAACACGATGAACGTCAAAATCAGACAAGAGGTAACCTAGCCATTACAGGGGGGCAGAGGAGGGTGGGGGAACACTTATCTTTCTTTGTTATATTAATTACCGCTGTACATAATATGAGTAAGCTTGACATGAGAGCGCTCTGCCTTAACTGTTCCAGTTGCCTGATGAATATTACGCCAAGAAACCGGAACCGTTAGGTCTAAGGCACAGTACGCGCATTGCAGGGCGCGGTTTCTGACGGATTCAAGCTTACTTATAATATGTACAGCGGTAATTGATATAACAGTTAAAGATAAGTGCCCCCACCCCACCCCACCTCCCCTTCTGCCTCCTCTGTACTGCGTTGTGCATTGCATATTGATGGGTTGCAAACATTCCCTAGAGTCNCCCCTTCTGCCCCCTGTGTACTGCGTTGTGCATTGCATATTGATGGGTTGCAAACATTCCCAAGAGTCAATGGAAGAATTCAAGCACAAAGTTTCTGGTTGTATAATTGTTTTTAATCTTTATTTTGTAGGATCTTCAGGAAATAATGACCAACTACAATTGCCACAAGGATACAGTAAATATAACTTTCTTTACGATATATATCTCTAAGGGAGCATTCATTTTTCAGGAGAGGGGTGGGCCGGAGCAATCCCTATAAACAGTAATGTAAAATTGTTAGACCCCCCTTCTTCTGTCTGCATAAAAAAGTGTCGACCCTCTCCTTGAAATTTGTTGAATTCTTGTCCCTCCCCTTTATGTAGTATGAAATATTTGATGACCCCCCTTTTTGACTAAGTAGAAATTCATCACCTTCCCCTGGATTCCTCCGGACCACACCCCTCCTAAAAAATGAATGCTCCTTAACCATTGCACATGCGTATTAATACTAACTAGTTTACAGCACATATCCGCACTGGGTATAGTATTGCGATTCTCCTATAAATTTGATCGGGAAAGAGCCGCCAATATTTATAACTTATAGCTCAATTTTGAGCCACCAATACGGGTTTACATAGGCGGCCGCGGCTAGTTGGGAGAAGTTAAATCCCGTATTGATCTCGTCGCTTGGATAATATTTTCGCAACGGATTGCAGTTTTACAGTGTATTACATGCACCCCTCCAGCACCTTTTCTCGCAATTTTAAGCCATGTTTTTCAAGAGCGCTTGCGCCAAATATTTTTACGAGTCATCCCAGTCTACCGCAGCCAAAAATCGTTAAAAGTTACTGAGATCGCGTTGCAGTGTAACACCTCACTTCGGCAACCGGCAACCGTGAGATAGCTCCTGGGTTAGTACGTCATCCTCTTTAGTAAAGGTCATTACATTGTTTTGTATTGTAACCTGCAACGCTACATTTTCAAGCATTACGCGGAGCCTTTTTTTGACGGACGACTTCTACTAAACGTTCTAATATTGCCGAGATAGAACGTGCGATGTGATTGGTCTACGAGTTATAATTGTCTGATTTATTTACAGGACTAGATGACATCATCGACAAAGATAGCAAATTATACAAAAGGTATCTTCTTCACATCGCGAAAAATCTGACCACTGGCGATGATTGGAAAAACCTTGGAGGATACCTTCGAATTTCTAATAATGCTTTAGATAGTATATCAGTTGACTATGGTGGACAAGTAAAAGAACGAGCATATCAGATGCTTATCAAATGGACAGAGAGCAGTCACGAACCCACACTAAAATCCCTCTTAGACGGTTTAGAGATGGCTGGACAACGTCAACTTGTCCACGAAATTTCAGGTGTCGTATATTGACCACTCTTACAGCGGTTTTCGGTTGAGTGGGAAAGGTACCGTACTGACTTACAGCATGTATACGATACGGTATACAGTAACACTGAAATGATTTTCCTTTGTTTGATGCGAATTGTCCAATCTCAACTCGTAGTTACAGACACGATAAAACACGATATTCCGGCGAGGCTACGAAGTTGGCGTAGCGTTTTCCACTCATACGAAATCCATTCTATTCTTTTCAGTGTTGTTTATTTTGACTGAATTGACCATGGGCCTTTTCTGAAATAGCGAACATAGTGCATTGTGGTCTAGAGCGAGGAGGCAGCGTGATCGAGTGGTCATAGCGTCGGTCTCGCAATCCGGTGGGGGGCAAAGCCTAGTGTTTCCCACCCTTTTTAACTCGTGGATACGCGAAGCGTAGAAACGAGTTATTGTGAGAGGTCTGAATATGCAAATGAGTCACTCATCCGCTCACTCACTCACTAAGATATTACTGCAGATCGATAATTAAACGCTATCGATTGTCTTACGTCATATGATTACGAACGTTACACGACACTAACAAGCACAAAGCTCTTATTCAGTATAGACCACTTTCGCCATTTATATGACGAAATGAACTGCTGATGTTTCATGTGGGATACTTTCTAGCACTGTGGACCCACTGTGCACATGCGCACACTCACACTTAGTTTTATCTTCGAATTATTTTATATCAAAAGAATCAAGGAAAGATGCAAGTTGAAGTAAAATAATACAATTAACGCCTAAACTAAAATTCCAATGAGTCAAACCTTTTTTTCCTGATGTATTAAAGTAAACAGAAACGCTTATGTACAATCGTCAACATATTTAGATTTTTACAGAGGACTCGTAGGTAGAGCCGGATGCATCGAAAAAAGGACTTTTCATTAGATTTCAAAACGAGAGTCAAGTTCGGCTAGTTTTGTCATCCAAATACGCTGTTTTGAATAAAAAGTAGATTGATTGTCGGACATCACGAACAGCCGAAGCAATTTTCTTGTATGTTAACTGCGAAGGTACTAATCTACTCAATACTATGTCGCTCGATACCACTAACGAGAATTCGCTCCAATAAATAATCAGTAATGTACAGACTTGAATGAAGTCAAATGAAATAGTATTTCTAAACGAATTTCTATAAAATATTCGCTTAGTTCACAGCGTAAATAAAATGTTTCATGTGAAAATTTCAGGCAACAAATCGATTGTAAGCGCCGTGACCCATGAAGGTCAAGATAAGTAGTAAACGCATAACGCAACGTTTTTTGTTAGACAAAAAGGCTTATACGCTTATATGATTCCTGAAATAAAGCTTTTTTTTCCCAGAAGACGAAGTCGTCTTTCGTAATTCAGAGGTATTTAACTTCAGACAATCAATTCATCACATAATTCGCTTCCAAAGTTAACAAAATAACAAAGAACTAAACAAAATAGGTGTTAAAAGGAAAATAAAAGGAAACCCTGCCCTCGTGGTTCCACTTGAGATTTGAACATTGGAAAATGGAAATCTATGACCGATTTGTTAAATTCACGATAATGCTGAATATTTAATCCTAGAGGTTCTGCGTGAAAATAGCAATCAACCGCAAGGGGGACAACAGGTTACAGAAAGCCATTTCCTAGGAATTGCCTCTGATATCCTAGACGACTGGAGGTTTATCGGTAGATACCTCGGTCTTAAAGAGAGCGTCATACGTGAGATAGAAGAAAAAAATATAGCGCACATGAAAGCTTATGAAATGCTCATTGTGTGGAAAAAAAGGAATGGAAGAGAGGCAACATTAGAAGTTCTCCAAGCAGCACTCCATGATGTTGGAAAAGAAGACCTCGTAAAAAAACTCCGCCAAGGTTAGGTCAGCAGTTTTCCAAGTCGGATAAATATAATTTATTCGTAATTTTTTCGGTCTTTTTTGCTGTTCCTGCTGTTGTCGATGTTAGTTGTTACTGTTGTTACTGCTGTTGTCGATGTTA